GAACTAATCTCACAACACTACACACACACACACACACACACACACACACACACACACACCATTTTCCATAGTAATCTGCAATCAACATTCATCAAACTAACATTTCGCTCTAAATTCGACGGAACTCGAGCGCGGAACCCGAATTCTCACCGAGCTGGAGAGAAGAGCAAGAGAGGGAGGGAGGGGGAAGAGAAGCGTGTTTCAAATTTCTCGAATGACGAACAACTCGGCCGCAAGAGCAGCCGTATCGTCCCCAGGAACGACACCGTGGCGTTGATAATCTAATCCGGTTCCACCTGCGACTCGTGCAGCTGCGTCAACTTCTCACCCCCTCTCATTGCACGCAGCCTCGTGCCTCTCTTTTTCCGTCAACAGCGTTTCGTTGTTCAATGATGTGCACGAAAAAAAAAAAGCAAAAAAAAGGAGAACGAAAAGTGAGACAGACAGAGAGAGAAAAAGAGAGAGAGAGAGAGAGGGATAAAAAGAAGGGAAAAAAAAACGCAGAGAGACAACGAGATGAGCGTGCCTCGAGGCCGGAACCCGTAGGCCGGACTTCCGGTAGATACGCCGATTATACTTGCCATTCACAGAACCGCTCCCTCGCGACTCGATTGTTTGAGAGGCGAACAGCATTTAACCAATTTCGGGATGAAAGTTGAATTTCCACCGGTCGACGATACGGTGATTCGATTGGGAACAGCCGATGCGAAACGCGTTGTGCACGTTGCGAAAAATATTGTTCGACACGCCGGAAATTAACGAAACGCCTTCCCTACTACCACTACTAATACTCGCTCGAAAATATCACGTAGCTACTATCTGTATTTACACGGTTACGCGTTAATACATACTCGTATATCGTAACGCTTGACGCGTTGTTTCCAGTGATTTGTAACTTTTAATTGGTTTCTCCTGTGACGTGTAATAATCGTTATGGAAAATTATTTTACAGAAGTTTTATGGGTGAATATTTTTATATACATTGGATATTTCACGCGGATGGATGGATTGCATGGCTTTAAAGAGGTTAGAGACGTGGAGGAAAAGAAAAGAAAAATAAATAAATAAATGATTTTGAACACGTTCGAAAGATTTAATAAGTTTGTGCATTGTACATTAAGCAACATTTTCTTTCGGATGTTAATGATACTTTGAAGATTCCAATTACGCGAAAGATTCTGTACACTATGTGTAATGTTATTGCACGCTAATATCGAGATTACACGGTAAAAATTTTCGAGATAAAGTGCCTTCAAAAAGAAAATGAAAAGAAGAAAGAAGAACCGATATGTTTTCGCTTAGAAAATAATTGGTTAAATGAATTTAATTGTATCACGTATAAATACAGATACAATTTTCGATAATATTCGAAAAATATTCGCGCATGTACTTAATATTCCAGTGGTGGGATATTATTATAGATAATTTTGAAACCAGGTTCACATCCCAAAAGGATGTGTAACGTAATATCAATTATTCAACCTGCTAATTAAGTCGGATATAACAGAAATCTGGATAGTTGTTACGAAATGAGCCGTCGTCACGTTTAAAACTAACATGGAAAATCTACATCATCTAATTTATATTAAAACTTGTTTCGCTTCGAACAACATCTCGACTCTTATTCAGGATCTTTCAAGATAATAGGGCATGTATATTAATTATCGATTATTCGAGGTAACCAGTACCTTATAACCGATCTTCTTCGAGTCTATTTTGCTTCTGAAATCACATCTCACAAGTATTCATGAAGAAAATCACGAAGGTGAAAGTATTACGGATTAATCCATCGAGACGAAGAAGAATTAAAAAGAATGGATCATTTTTTCCCTAGTTACCAGATTATCAATTACATACAATGCTTATATACACGTTTATTGCGTTTATGAATATTTATCTAATTGCTAATCTTTGCGAATATTTATGAAGCATTCGTTACATCATAATTTTCATATATTTATATTTTCAATGTCGATATGTATACTTCTTTTATATCACTTTATATTTTATGCTATGCAATATATGCAACACTATAATATTCACTATAATTTTTATACGAATAATAATATTCTCTTTGACACATACCGCTCGACAAAAATTTTATTAAGCGAAAAAATTATTTTTCAATATGCTATTTAGAATGTTTGAAAGAATTTGATTATTTAAAAATATTCACGTGTAATTATTTTTGTTACATGAGTTTTGAATACTATTGACATAAAACGTTGTCATAGATGACATATAATTTATTATGATGATCGTTGAACGGAATAATAATTTGCATTCTCTATCAATATTAAATGGATGTTAAACATGTATTTAATTTATATTATTTTATCGAAATTAATTTTCGCAATATTCTTGGAGCAGACATCTTTTTGAATGAAATCGTCACATAATATTTTGTACAACCGATCATCATTTGCCATTTCCAAAATGTATAATTTAATTTACCTCGTTTCTACTTTTATTTTTCAAAAAACTGGAAAGAGAGGAAAAATAGCTATGAATCGGTACAACCATTGCAAAATAATTTCACCATCGAGGCCCAGAAACATTGACCCGATGAGAACGAGCGTTTCGCAGTGTCACGGGCAACGATTTCCAAATCTCCTCGTCGAGGTTTCTTCACGTTTGACGAGGAATGACAAACATCGCTGCGACTCGACTCGATTGTTTATAATTCCTGGATTACGTAACGAGAAAGCGCGTGCACATTTTCTGCATCGGTTGCTTGCGTCACGCGTCACAATTCGCGGCTCTCCGCCTCGCGAAAATCAAACCGCTTGCGCCCCGGCAAACGGAGCGTGGCGCGTGATCTATTTCGTTCCCTTTTGCGCATTTGTTTACGATGTTCGAACGACGGCTCATTGAGAAATCGGTCTCGAGATGTATCGCTTCGCGCTTGTAAACCGAGCCTTTGCGGTTCTACGAACACGAGATGAGTTTTATGTGTGTGTGTGTGTGTGTTGAGCAAAGGAGATGATTTCTGCAAAAAAAAAAATAAAATAAAATAAAATGGCAACGATACTAATTGAGGATTGATAATGAGAGAATGAAAATTAAGTAAAGGAATCGATTAATTGGATTGGCCCTGGGAAGACAGAGGCTTAAGATTTAATTGCATGCAGTAGAAATAGAAAAAAAATTCTGATATTAAAAGCAACGATAAGTAATTTTTTTTTTTTAAGTTTTGCTAAATGAATTGGAACAATCGGTCTTTTTGAATCTATTTTAAGTTGGTTTAAAAAAAAAGAAATAGATAAAAAGATACGAAGACCAAATTAATGTTATCAATTTTTGGAAGTAGAGATGGAAGATTTTTATAAATGTAAAATGATAACAGTGATCAATTAACGATAAATATTGAGTTGATATAAGAGATTTGTTAAATTCAAGACAAAAAGAGAATGAGAATTTGCGTAGAATATCGAATAAGCTAATCTATTCGATTATTGTATCAACAGTACTTCGTATTATTCCATCAATAATCGATGCACTCGACAGCGCAATGTGTAATGGTAAGTGTAATGGTAATTCACTTAATGCTCGAATATTCCAAACCCGCACAATCTCATTAAGTATAACATAATTTGAAAATTCCACCCACTAATCGACGAATTATAAATGTACTTTAAAGTACTGACAACCTGCTGCTTCATTCATTTAACTCAATATCAAACGATCTTCAGTTTTCAAACGAGCTTCATGAAATTGATCCTCGAGCACGCCTACGAGCGTGATATTAATCACATTTCTATTGTCAAATCTTTCTGAACTTTGTAAATTTGGGAATTTTTGGCTTATCGATTTTGCTAATTGAGTTTATCTTTATCCAAATATTTGTGATAACTTATCGTATTTAATTCGATATCGACGATTAATATTTAAACTCATCATTGTCAAACTCTTGTGGAATTTCTAAAAAAAGTTTATCGATAGAAGTCGAGGTACTATTTTATAATAAATCAAAGAAATTTATTTATCGAGAAGCCAACCAATATCGAGAGTATAGCGCTTCAAATTAAACATTTATGTTTATATTTTACAACTTTTCTTATCTATATTTGTCGTCGCGTTACACGCTATTTTCCAACATACAACCAACACATATGTATTTTATAATCGAAGCAGTATAGAATTCTAATAGAGTAATGCATGAATTTATTTAAAAAAACGAGGAAAG